AGAGGGAGGTGGGCAGGGGTCCCTGCCCCAACCCTGGTAGGTTACACACATCAGCCGCCCGCCTATGGGATGTTTTTTGGCTCATAAATCTGTGTGTCTGGTGATAGGAACCAGGCTTTGTGGTCTGTGCCGCGCTGCCGGGGAGTGGGGCCCCTGCATGTGACCTGCCGCCAGGCATGCTGCCACGTGGCCCGAGGTCACAGTTCCTAAATTTGTGAGCTTTCCATAGCGTGTGTTTCCCTGTGGACTTCTGCAGTTCATTCTTGGTGCAGAACATTATCTGTTCTTAACGTGCAAAGATACCAATTAAACAATGTCTTACAAAACTGCAGCTCTGCCTTTCATGCGGGGTTTATGCTCATGGCACGCTGTGCTCATTTGTTCATCTCATGAGTTACTTTAGGTCTGACTTAGAGATTATCTTAAAACTTGATATTAATGGAAAGTTCTTCCTGGGATTTTCTTTTTAAAAATCTGGCAAACAGGTGTTTTCAAAGCATCCTGTCGTCTGAGCAGAGCAGAGCCCAGTGCTCACAGCCGCAGACTCTGCGTCCCTCCCTGACCCCGGATGCGGATGAGCCTCGGGGAGGAGCCCCAGGCCTGAGGGTGGCGGTGAAGGAAGTTCCCGGCCTGCAGAGTCCCCCTCCGCCCCCAGCCCCCACACCAGTACCGGACCAGCTCTTCTGCTGCAGGAAACCATCCTGGAGGGACATGCCTTTGTGAGGCCGTGGGCTGTCCCGCAAGGGCCACCCTGCACCTGGTGGAACTGGGCAGACTGGAGCGGAGGGGCGGGCACACCACTCTAGGCCTGTGTTCGGGAAGCCCCACATGGGAGCCTTGGTCCTTGTGAGTCTGAGGACACGGAACGGGGCCCCCTCCCTCGTGCGCCTCTGAGCCGATGCTGGGCCAGCGGGCTTGGACCACTGATTGCTTTCTCACCCAGGTCCCAGCTTCTGGCTCAAGGAGGGTGAGTTGGGGCGGGACGGGGGGGACAGAGAAGGGGACTCCATGAGCCTGGCAGCAGCCCCCTAGTGCACCCCGAAAAGTGAAGAGGGGCTGGAGGCAGACCTGCAGCAAAACTCCAGCCTTAGCACATCCCCGCAGGATACCTCGGTCTGCCGTCCTGATGGCTACAGGCAGAGATGTCAGTGTTTTGGGGGGTGGAAGTGAATCTTGCGTTGACTCCATGTAGCCCCCAAAGGACATAAAGTATGTGTAAGGTGTTTTGAATGTTTTTGGGTTTAAAGCTGCATACTTCCTAATGCAGAATTTGAGCTGGGATTTCAGCCAATGACTGCAAACCTGGATCCACAGGAGCCCTGACTCAGGCCAGACGATGCTGACCTGGTCCTTCCTGGAGATGAGCTCAGATTTTGGAGGCTTGGGGGAGAGCTGCAGCCTGGGTCCTGGCTGCGAGGGCGAGTCTGTGAGGCTCCGGGGTGCTTTCAGTAGCCCCTCGGTCTTCCAGCCCCACCCGCTGTGTGCGGGTGGACGTGTCTGCAGCCGTAAAGCCCCTCCCAGCGCCATAGAGCCGCGTCTGTCTGTGCTGGTCTCACTGACTTACCGATGATCACAAGTAAATATTTTCATGGTGACTGTGTTGCCATGTGGTGATTTCTTTTTCCCAGAGGAACTCCCTTGTTCATTATGGTGTTAGAACCTAAAGTGGTGTTACCCAGCCAACCAAGCGGTGGTCACTACTGGATTCCCTAAACATCCCTTATATGGGAAAGGGTCTGCGCTGTCCTGCCTGCTGTGGCCAGGGCCACTCTCCATCCGGCCTGCCCTGCCTTCTGCCCTGGGGGGCTTGTTTTGGGCACGCCAGGCCTGTGGGCTCCCTGCAGGACGGGCTGGGGATCAGAGGGAGTGGGGCTCCCTTTCCGGGCCCCTCTCTGCCAGATTCTGAGGACTGGCTTTGGTCATCGACCCAGTGTCCTGCTCCTTCCGGGTTCCAGGGCCTGGGTCCCAGCTCCTTTGCTGCTCCCGCTAGCCTGGCCGGTAGCCATTCTCTCCGAGATCAGCCTGCACCTTTGTCAATCAGTCTTCCAGTCTCTCCAGGCCACGCCAGGCTCTGCGGGACAGGCAGGGAGGAGAGTGGGCGAGGACGGTGTCTGAAGTCCCTCTGATTCCACTGCTGTCCCAGCGTTGCTCAGGCCTCACCCTGAGGGCCAAGTCCCCTGTGGGGGCCAGAACACGCTCCCACCGACTGAGGGGCTCAGAGCAGCACAGATTCATTCTCTTATAGTCTGGAGGTCAGAAGCCTAAAAGGGGGTCGGGAACTCACGGATCTAGAGAACAAACGAATGGTTACCCGCGGGGAGAGGGGATTGAGATGTACCAACTGTTCTGCCCGAAATAAGCTACAAGGAGACATGGTGCAGCACGGGGAATACAGCCGGTGTCTTAGGATAATGTAAGTGGAGTTTGGCTTAAGAGCTGCGAGTCACTGTTGAGTACCTGAAACTTACGTAACGCTGCACACCAAGACCTCAGTAAAAAAAAGTGGATGGGCAGAGTGGGTCCTTCTGGGGTCTCCAGGGACAGTCTCTTCCCTGCCTTTTCCTGCTCCCAGAGGCGCCTGTGTTCCTTGGCCCACGACCCCTCCTTCCTCTTCAAAGCAGCAGTGAGGCCTCCTTGGTCTCCCTGACATGCACCCTCCTGCCTGCCTCTCATAGGGACCCTGCGATGACACTGGGCTCAGCTGGCTACTCCGGGACCATCTCCCCATCTCAAGGCCCTTAGCTTAATTGTACATGCAAAGTCCCTTCTGCTGTGTTAGGCGACAGTCCCAGGTTCGGGCACTGGGACACGAAGTGAGGGCGGGCTATTCAACCCCATGGTGGGTGGGTGGAGCGAGCCCAGCCTTGGGCACCTTTCTGGATCTCCAGTGTTAAGGAGGGAGGTGCCTCTCAGGGTGCTGGGTGAGGACAGAAAAGGGCAGAGGACAGGAGAGGGAGAGAGTGTGCCAGGCAATGTGTGTCTGGCCACTGTCCTGGAGACCCGCCGGGCAGCTGGGTCACACGGGGTCATCTGCAGGGCCCGCGGGGACTTCTGCATCAGCTGCTCCCTCCCACCTCCTCCAACCCTGGTCAAAGTTCACCCCGGGGGTGCATGCCCCTCTGGGCTTTTGAGGGTGGGTCCCGCTGGGTGGGACGCCAGCACTGGAGCTGCTGTGGCAGGGCCCAGGGGCAGGTCCGAGGTGCAGTTGCGGGGCTGCCAGAGGCGAGCTGGGAGCACGTGGTAGGTGGAGCCCTGAACTGCATGAGAGATTCTGCCCTCTTCCGCCTGTCAGCTACCTGGCAGGTGCCGGGCACTGCAGACACGGCGCTTGCAGTCACATCAGGGGCACAAAGGACCAGGGACCAGGGCTACCCACCAGTGTGCGGTGGGGTGCCAGCTGGAGGGCGCGTCGCCCACGCTCCTGCCGGGGCGGCACCCTTCTGCGGGTCGCAGGCAGGTGTTTCTCCA